TTTTTGGATGTTCTGAAACTTTTTAAGCTAAATTACCGTGTTTTGTGGATTTTTTTCGGTTTTGTGACATAAATTGTACTATATTAAACACATTTTCAAACAAATTTTTTTATTTTTTCGGCACTGGACATGACATTGAATGAACAAATGCGCGCGCAATTTTTTTTGTTAAATCACTTCCATTCTTTTATTTTGCTCACGTTATATATTTCTTTTTTTTTTTTATTAAGAGAGCCATATAATAAATAACTTATTAACCTCGTCCGTTCTTTTTTTACAGGGAAATCTCAGACCTCGGTCTTGTTTGTATGGACCGAGCGATAGTTTTTTTCATACTTCCAAGACCTCGGTCTGAGATTTCCCTGTAATGACCTCACTCTTTTTTTATAAGTAGTATGTAGAGTACAAAAACTAAAACTGTGCAACATAAATACTTTTTTTAATACTGCTAAATTATGCTAATTCTTTTGTTTTCTATTATTTAATTAGTTTTTTTTTAAAGTAAATAGTGGAAAGTGTCTTTTAGCGTATGTACTCTAGCACTGAATAATACAAAAGCTTAAATATTACTAAGCTTAATTGACTAATTGACCTTTGTTTTTTTTTAGGGAAGTTTGAGTCTGCCGACGGAGATTTTGAGAAACATTTCTGGGTTTTTTTTTTCCCCTAATGAAATTGAAGAACGCCGCCAGCACTGAGGTCTTGTGTATTTTTTTAAGAGAAGCAATCAGACTTTTGTTATCAAACAAACCACATAAAGCTCCTTTTTTTCTCAAATATTTTTTAGAAATACAAATTTATAGAAATTTGTGTCTAGTTTTTTTTTCGCCTGCTTCAAGTGGAATGGTTCAACTCTTTCACAATTTTGGTGAACTTTTTTTGCACTAGAATTTGGTTACAGTACAATTACGGTCACAGTACAGTACCGTTTTTTTTCCACTCATACAAAATCCGCTCTAGATAATACAATTATTGTCAAAGGGTTTTTTTTCCAAAATCTGACCTCGAATTTGAAAAAAAATAGAGGAGTCACGTTTTTTTTTTTTTCCAGGAAAACCACAACTTACAGCTTTGCTTGCCTTATTTTTTTTCTCTTTTTTTAAGTTCGTCATTTCAAACACTTGACTTCTTAACTTATTTGTCTCTTCTTTTTTTTAGCAAAAAAATAAAAATTCAAATATTTTCTTATTAACTTAAGTTAATTAAGACAATACTTAAACAATATCATTATTCCATGCTTTTTGATTTATCCTTTATCGTTTTTTTCACGGATATGATTTAATACCTTTGCATTTACCTGTCAGTGGTCAGCAGTTTTTTTGACGAAGGCTCGAGATTGAATGGAGATACAAACAACAACGCGGTCCTCTTTTTTTCAGAGTCAAGAAATTAAAAAAATCCTTTTTTCTAATAAAACTAATCTGTTTTTTTGGATATGTCGAAGTGCAAATACTAAATAGATGAATATACGGACTGACATTTTTTTACATGATGCCATGCACTCTTACCGGTCTAATGAGGCTACTACAGGTCATTTTTTTATGAATTCATTTCAACGAATTTACAGCAGCGAACAAACAATTTTAAGCTTATGTATAAAATCCGAATGACAAGTTTCTGTTAGGAAAATTGCAAATAGTTCCTTTTTTTTAAATTAAAAAATCAGCACAGAAAATGAGATATTTCATTGCTTACAAACTTTTTTTGAGCAAGTTAAGCTTACTTACTGTGTTCGCAAAGCGCATTTCTTCAAATTTTTTTAAGTGCTCTTTACAAGCTCGTATTCCGCTTCTTTGGTGCTTGTTCCTTTTTTTTTGAGTCTTACATCCGGTCTGGTCACGGCCGCTCGCGCTTCAGCCATTTCTTTTTTTTAGTAAAATTGTAAAAATACGATAACAGTCACCAGCCGAATGCAACTCTTTTTTTAGCAGAAGTTACGTACCCAGAAGTTACTTGAAGAACACCGAGGTCAGATTTTTTTGCATGCGTATAAAATTAATCTTGAGTGTAGTAAACATGGGGATTTTTCTTTTTTTGTACTTTGAGACTGGTTTATAAGCAATTCCCTGGGTTTATAAGGTTAATTTTTTTAGTGAACCTAAAAATTGTACTACTTAAGC